ACATTTTCTGTTTCTATGTTTAAAAATCCCCCTACATTTTAAGCTCCTAATTACCCACCTGTAGTCTGAAAATTGTTCCCATCTGACAAGGTTCGCCTGTGACCCAACACACGTAACTTCGTCGAGGAATCATTTGGCACGTTTTGAGTTTCTTGTTGCAGACAAAGATTAAAAGCCGGACTTTTTAATCGTGTAGAAACTGTGTTAGGAGCCAGTTGTATCCTCTGTTTTCTCTTACTTTCAGAAGTTTCAGATGAAAAGTCATCAGCAGAACTACATGGACCACAATCACCAAGCACAGTGCTTAAAAACGCATCTTCACTGTCAGACTGAAGTAGGCATTTAGTGGAAATGGAGGGCATAGACAGAAGATTCACAGTATTCGCAGCTGGATTTAGGGATGGAATACTTGTTTCCTCTTTCTTGGACTGCAGTCTTGTAGGGCTGGCACTCCTGCGAAACTTTGAAGCACGCTGAAATATCCCATCACGCTTCTTCTTCTCCTCTTTAGGCAGGAGTTCGTCTGGGCCCTGCGATTTGTTCAGCTCTCTGATGTCTAAGCCCAGGGCAACAGACGCAAGGAGGACTGCACACCCATACAGCACCGAATCAGTCTTCTTTTTCTGCAGCGTCCTGCTCAGACTGTTTGTAGGTGTCATTTGAGGAGTGCTATTTGTAGAACTAGCAGAGGTTCCTTCTTCAAAGCTCTCGTGTTCCACTGTATTCTCGCCCTGATCATCTTTCCAAAGAGGTAGATTAATATAGGCCTGATTCGGCAACTTAATTGGCTTTGGTCTTTTGCTGTCCAAACCTTCAGGGAGAAGTTTCTTATCAGTACAGACACCTGTAAAACATTAAAGTATATTTAAAAATTGCAATTCAGCTATTTTGCTATTGCATGTCTGCATACATACGCCATTATTTCCTTCCACTTGCACAAGCATTAATCTTGAGCTATACTGTATGTCCCCTTTGGATGCAGTCAGAAGCTCAGAGACTCACCTGATAAAATTCAGAAACACATCCTAAGTCTAAACCTCTTCATGTTCTCTTGACAGTCTTTAAAATAGCAGAAGTACCATTTTGCTACAACTTCATCTTTTTAGCAACTCAGAAGCAAATTCTGTTAGAATTCCTCAGCATATCTGAAAGACTTACCTTTATTTCAAGGGAGGCAGAACGTACCTCCCAACCTTTGTGCATTCAACACAGTTGAACAGCAGATACTGTCTTTGCATTTTCTGTGATATTTGAGGATTTGCAACACTTTGGTAGTGTTTTTCAAATAATATGGAAAATATTCCTCTGTATGGATTACAGTGAAGTAATATACTGTACACAAACTGCCAAATAAGATCGGAAACACGTTCTTTACAACACTTTCAGTTAAGCAGTGTTCCAAAATCCAGTGAGATACCAGAAATTTTTCCAAATAACTCATTATGCCATGGTGGTCTGGAGTAAAAAGTAAATTTGACATCACACCTAATGACGAAACGGAAGGTGCAGTTTGACTTACACGTGTTATTCTACCACCAACTACTGAATGCTAGAGAATAAACACAGAAATATTTGAAATGCAAATGTGTAGACTTGTATAATCTTCGCTACATGTAGGGGTTTAGTAGTTAAGCTAATGAATCTATAAAATTGCTATTTGTGCAGCCTTGATTTACGTGTATATATAGTATATGCAAAGATTAAAATGCCTTTGCCCTAGGGAAAAAAAAAAGCATGTGTCCAAGCAGTTTACCATTGCATCTTCCGGCTGGCTTAAATCTAGCTGCTGGTATGGACACCGAGTTACATCACAGTTTTTTTCCTGATGCTGGTAACTTAATTTGCTCAGATAAGCGAATCTGTAGTATAGAAGGTGCATGCAAATTTGAAAATTATTATGAATATTGTATAGCCACAGCACATTATAGTAACGAACATAAGAAGCAACACACAGCTATGATGCTCCTGATCCTAGCAGGATTAACTATGTATTTCCTTGTGATTTACCTGTAAATTCCAAAATGTTGCCTGAAAAATTAAGATTTGAAATCTACATATTTTTTAACGAAAATTTAGAAAATAAGTCTTATTTAAAAAACAGGAAACTACTGTCTAGGAATACATCAGGGTGTACAGGTTTTTAAACAACTATTCAGAGGTCACTAACAATAAAAAGTCATTAATGATCTTTTAAATGTCAAGACAATTACAAGATTTAGATATTTCTTTTTAAAAGAAGCTGAAAAGTGGCTGCAGACCTCACATACAGATCAGCCTGCAACTCAAAAATGTGGGAAAAAAACCGCTATGTGGTACTGCTCACACACCATATATAATTCTTAGCTGCTAATGCTGGAAATGTAAAGATCTTAACACCAACACTTGCATTTTTTTATAGACAGGTTTTCTGCACAGGAAAATTATTTGTAACATGACTACTCTTCTAATAATCTGCATAATCCTTGAGGAATTCAAGCAATACAATTTATAACACTGCAGGTAGACTTAATGCCATTATATGGCAACTTTCACTTTTTCAAAAATAGCTCTTACCTTGATCCACAAATAGTGAAGCTAAGGGAACACCCTTCTGATTTTTCATTAAAAGGGTTGACCAAGGGTTGCTGCCATCTGAAAGGGGTCTTATTCTGAAATAACAATAGTAATTTTGATATTACAGATACCATGCTTATATGTACTTTGGCAAAAAGTCTTTCTTTTTAAACTATAAACATGTAGTACCTAACTTGAAAATAATAAAACTTTCCAAGGTAAAAAAAAAACAAACAAAAAAAAACACATAAGAGCAGAGTCATAGGATTATAAATGCATACATGCTTTATCTCAGGCATTCCTTATAAAATGAAAATTTCAGGCCTAAAAAGGAAGCCAATGAAAAATGCGCCTTGACTGGATATCGAAGAAGAAAAGTTGGTGAAAACCTGGACAACCATTTCACTGTGTCAAGGAAATTATGTGAATATTGGAAATTTATTAAACAGTGACTTTAAAACAAACAAAACTATCATAAAGCCAGTTTCAATAGGTGGTCTGGAACCAACTACTGCCACAGGTAAATGACTGGATGTCTCTACCAAGAAAAAAAAAAGGCACCATAAATAATTATATATACTAGAAGAGACAAGGAAAAGCATCTCTCGCTTGGAAAAAAACTGCTAATCTCCACTTTTGAAAAATCAGAAAAAATAACCTGAAAGCAAAGGTGTCTCACTTCAAGAAAGGTGTAGTGAGCTGTCCCTCACTACAAGAAAGACACTGAGTTGCTGGAGCGTGTCCAGAGAAGTGCAGCAAGGCTGGGGAGGGGTCTGGAGAACAAGTCTGATGAGGAGCGGCTGAGGGAGCTGGGGCTGTTCAGTCTGGAGAAGAGGAGGCTGAGGGGGAGACCTTATCGCTCTCTACAGCTCCCTGAAAGGAGGGTGTAGTCAGGTGGGGGTTGGTCTCTTCTCTCAAGTGACTAGCAATAGGATGAAAGGCAGTGGCCTCAAGTTGTGTTAGGGGAGATTTAGATTGGATATTAGGAAAAATTTCTTTCCTGAAAGAGGAACATTGGACCAGGCTGCCCAGGGAGGTGGTGGAGTCCCCATCCGTGGAGATGTTCAAAAAACGTGTAGATGTGGCACTTCAGGACATGGTTTATTAGGAATGGTGGTGTTGGGTAGATGGTTGGAACCGATGAGGTCTTTTCCAACCTATGATTCTGTGTCCAACTGATTTTCAGAACCCTTTCACCCCGTGTTTGTCAGTGTAAATGATGTTGCTGGTATGACTTGTGCTTCACGTATGCAAAGTCGGGCAGTCTTATTTAATTCTACTGAAGTGCCCACTGGGAGCCATGCCGGCAGTTCCTCAGGCCAGTCTGAGGAAGGGCAAGAAAGAAGTCAGGCCATGAATGTCTGGTATGCATTAGTAGCTCAGCATCCTAGTATGTGCCAAGTCTCAAAAACCAGAGATAAAAGGTAATAGATAAGACCACTGAAACCTTAAGATAAGCAAGTGTTTTATCCTCAAGTCTGTGTGGGGGAGCTACTTATTATTAATGTAATTCCTGAATTAATTAAAATGTAGGACTGAATTTTAGCTGTAACTAGAGACGGCAGAACTTCTCTCACTCGCCACCTATGTTAGTGATTCGGTTACCAAGAACACTTAATATTATCAAACAAACAAAATGTAGTAGACATACTTGTCCTTACAATCTGCACGATCCTTTGTTTGAACTGAACTTGGTCCCCACGTACAACCTCGCTTTTTAAAACTTCTCTTCACATCTTCAAACTCTTCTTGGTGATATGTTGTGCTCCTTCCCCAAGTTCTGTTGCTTTCATCTGAGGTTACTGGAGATTGGATTGAAAAACACAAACAAAAAAACCCCACACATAAATAGTCCTTCTAAAACCAAAATGTTTTGATAGAACAGATTATTTTCTCCACTGCAAAACCATTTTGACACAGTAACACAACGAGAAGTAGACAAAATTTGAGATTTTTTATTTTACAAAAACCACCACACAGACTGCACTGATCCAAAAAGATAAGCAAGCAAGAAAAATAATTTATGAGCTGACAAGACACCCAAATTAAAGATAAAGCAGCAAAACAAACATATTTTCCATGCCTCCTTTAACTGAGAACCTTATATTTAGGTAATTCAGACAAGTGAGTTAGACTGAGCACTTAAATTCCAACAAAGAAAATACATGCTGTGGAACAACTGGTATTAAATGAATCACAATATTCCAATTGTGACAATTATTACTGTTTTCTTTCTCACTACACCAAAACAAATTATACTTTTGAAGTGTCTAACCTTCATTAAATGCTTAGTCTGTCACTGTCTCAACCATTCAGTTAAGCAGAACCAGCACCTTCGAAACATAATGAAATCTTGCCTTTTTTCATAACCCCACTGGGAAGTTCATATTCACTTGTGATATCTACATCTTGCTGGTACACATATATACTGTTTCTTCGGCCATTAGCTGTGTGTGTATCTGTTTGGGGAATCACTGAGGAAAAATTAAGAGAATGTAGTAAAGATCTTAGTCAGGCTGATTTCAGAAATGGAACTGTTTCCCTTCTGTTTTTATCTTTGGGTCATAAAGCCCAGGTCTGTAAAGGCACTAAGCAGCTTATGACAGAGGGTTTTTACTGTAGGGTTTAGAGGATCCTCTTTCTAGGACCAGACCCAGGCAAGCAGATTTTCGTATACCACTAACTGGAAAAGTCACTTGCTATCAACTTAGCATGCTTACAGCTACGATGGAGAGACCTAGGAGAATAATAGAATCATAGGTTGGAAAAGAGCTCTGAGATCATCGAGTTCAACCATTCACCCAGGACCACCATTCCTACTAAACCACATTCTGAAGTGCCACATCTGTGGCAAAAAAACAGCTTAGCCAGTTATAATTGAGTGATAAATGAGGTGGCATTTAGCTGCCCGTGGTCCAGCATGGCACAGGCTCTCCTCCTGCCTGGCCACACACCTTGCCAGCGCAGCTTCCCCCGTAGCACGGCACTCTATTGGCCTTCTCTACATTCCCGTTTTCAGCCATATTCCAGGACATACAGAATGTGTATCTTACTGGTTTTCCTCCTCCCTTTAAAACACATTTTGAAATCAGCTGAATTTGTTTTAATTCACAGTGAACTAGATTTTTATTTTAAAAAATGTTTAGATTTGGGAGCTAGTCTCGCTCAAGACAAAGTGAAGCAATCAAGTAACCAATTGTTAGATATGCCTGTTCAAATCACCTGTATTTGAGCAAGTCTTCTTGAAACAAAGACACTTTGAAGTTAAATCAAGATAAAACATTATTGTGGGAAAGAGAATTTATTTTGCACAGGTGCAGATGGGTGTGGAAGCTAAATTGTTTCAGCTAGATACTCCTGAGAGATCTGATAAGCTTTTAGGTAAAGCCTAGGGATCCAAACTCAGAAACAGAAATATACTTCTTTTTAAAGGAGAGCCTTTATGTTGTCTTGTATGTTCTAGTCCTACAAATACAAATGCCTGCTCAAATAAAAAAAAGAAAAGGAAAATCCCCAGTGGCACTTCGCACACATCCAAGGAGTGGCACTGCTATAGTTTACATAAGGCTGTACATTTAAAAAAAAGCCTCAAGTTTTCAGAATTGTGCCAATACACGACACTTGCTTCATTTCCAAGCATTTCCACACAGAGCAAGGAGAATCAAAAATAAAATGAGACAGTCTCATTTATATACAATTATGACATTTTACTATGAAAAACCTTTTTACCTTTCTGCAGTAAAAAACCAAACCAATCTTAAAACCCCACCACACCATTTGAGGTCAGGAAATCATTATCAACACAGATCCTGTGTCAGCTAACTTCTGAAAGAGACTTTATGTAGTTTTCCTTCTATCTCTAATTTTCATTATGAAAAGCAAGACAGGGTTTGTCCAGCTCTCTCCTTTATCCACAACATGTGGGCAGTAACAGTCTTTGGCCAGGGAACTGTACCAGTTACAGTTCAAACAAATAACAAACTTACTGCCAGAAAAGACACCACTTCTCCTTTAGACATTAATAATGAAAAGGGTTTCATACGGCAGAGATATTCCAAAGCAGATGAGAGATCTTATTGCTACCCAGATTTTAAACAAAGTTTCAGGCTGGTTGAAAAAAAAAACAACCAAACAACCAATCTTTAGACTAGCTATGGAATGACATGCAGGAAAAAAAAATCCCCATGCATTTTGATTTCCCCTCCTCCTTATTTACATCTGATAAAGCCAGATTCTGAAGTAATTTCCTTCAGAGGTGACTGCCCTCGCAAGAGAAGGTAGTCACCATCCCTGAGCAATCAGCTGGAACAGGTTCCACTGATTCCATGTGGAGAAACTTAAGGCATTCCACGCTGAATGTGGATAATTAGACAATCTGCTTTGCACAACAGATCAGACAGTAGCAATGCAAGCACTGAATCTTGTAGGAATTGTTTTCTATCTTCACACATGTCATTCTCAAATATAAATGTGGGCTTCATTGTCACAACATGATCAGTTCTCCTCCATATTCATGGTACCTCCACTACATGCGCATGAGCATACCTTCCCTTCTGTCATCAGTATACGTGGAATAACGTAGACCTACAAGCATACCCACACTTTTATTTTTGTTTCTTTCTCTTGTTTTCAAAAAACCTAAAGCAAGCTTTCTTCTTTATTTTCTTCTGGTTTTGTATTTGCTTAAAGTTTGCTTGTCTTTTGACATAAGCAAGCTGGGTTGCTGGCTGTTTCTTTGCCTCTCCCTCTTCTGTGACTCCCTTCTCTGAATTTTTTTTTTCTTTTTTCTTTTGATATTCCATAACTCATTTCCTTTATCAACTCCAATACCTAAATAAAAACTTGTTTTCCATCTTACGTGGGTTCTAAACATGATGCTTTGCCTTTTGCCTTTATATATTTTGATTCTTCATTGTTTTATCCCAGTCAGTTTACAAATGAGTTCCTGAAGCTATTAAGGAAAGCTATGATTTAAAGCATTCATAATAATTTTTAATTAGTTAAAATCAGTTATGATTTTAGCAAGATTATCCCTCCCATCAAATAACAAGTTGCAAATGTTAGAACAAGTTAAGGGACATGGAAATCAGACAGAAATCTGTCTGGAATCCGATAGGACCACCAGCAGTTCGGTAAGTATATGGAACAGTCTCTACTGATACATGAACAAACAGAAATGGTCGAGACTTACATTGTATAGCTCGAAGACGAGGAATTATTGTGGGGCTACTTGATGGACTAGAGCTGTTACTGTTTAAGCTTCTCCTCTTATCCAGATTGGGGGATGCCTGCACTGTTATTTTGTGCTGGAAATCTGCAAGAGAGTAAAACAAATCAGTTTCAGTGTTCTAAATAAAACACTCTTCAGGAGATCATACTGCTGTACTTCTTAAAACGATTAAAGCTATATAATGAATTAGATTTGATAGTGTAAGAGGTGTTCATATTAAAAACACTGAAAAACTCTAAACTCTTAAAGTAACAATTTAGATATTGAGTGAAACGCCTTCACAGACACTTTATGATAGGTTTGCAGTAACATCAACAAAAGCAGGTAGGTCCAGGTGGACCCAAACTGAGACATATTCACATCACAAGCTGTTACTCGTTCTGGTTGGCTGTCACAGAGGGAAAGAAAAATCTCAATCAATATTGAAGGCAATCAGATTTGCCTTATTTTTTTAACATGTAATTCATATACAACATAAAAAGTAGCATTAACAAAGAAGACATATCTATCAACATGTCAGAAAAACAAGACACCAAGCTACAGAATTACAAATAATTATAGCAATGTAGTAAAAAAAGAACAACAACAAATATTGGCAAGTAGGAAAAATTTTATGAAATAAAATTTGACTATATGCCCCTGTCTAATCCCCATCATAAGTGTAATGAGATTGTATGCTATTCTTACAACAGAACTGTCTCAAGGACAAGTTCATCTGGATGACTCTTGACAACAAAGAGCTAAGTGGTGTTCTGAATAAAACTGTTTATTTTATCACTTTTTCAAGTCAAATATAAGCAGAACTGGAAACAAATGACCTAACATTTTGCTTAGGCTTGTGATCCAGCATAAACCAATTTAACATGCTTCTCTGGGAGCCTGTAGTGTGTAAGGAAAAATAAGCTTATTTCAGTAGTGCTGATACGGTACACTAAATACTACTGCCCTTTTTGTCTTTTCCCAACCACCAGACACCTATGATTTGGTCAGACCTGTGTTAGCATGGCATTAAGCTCTTACTGCATTAGTATTAAGCTAACAGACTTGACCTGGAAACCACTGAAAAGAAGCCCATAACACCAGCATGATGGTACCACTACTGCAGGCTTCCCAACCATTGGCGTAACCTTGAGTTTCTGTTGTGCCATCTCGTGGCAACACTAAAAAGGCATCACTAAACCAGTCCCTGACAGTAAACCCCCCCCAGCTCTCTACATATGCGCCTGCTTTGCAAAGGCAGCATTTTAACGCATTCTAACATTCAAATTATACCACGTTTGTACTCTGAAATAATATCTTCTGTTGCTATTACAGTGTTTTCTTGCAAGAAGTAAGGCACCAAAGATTGTAACTGCTGTGTTGTATTTGTGACTGCAATAAGCGTGCAATTTCAACCTACCGCGCCTGCACCTCCAGCCATTATGAAATGCTGTTTTTCTATTACGTACTTACACGTTTAGGGCAAACAGCACTAATATTTGATCACGTTAGAAAGTTCTGGGATGTAATAAAAAGGTACTTTTCTATCTGCACAAGATGAACGACAGCAAAAGTCTGACCTTTGAACCAGTCTTAAATCATTTGGCTCCCATGTTAGTAACCTGTCCCTCCAGATACACTGGACTTCCAGTTGAATCAGGTGAAAGATTCTTCCAGCTGAAATGAGGACTACTCCACAAGAATGTGACATGTGAAAGTTGTTTTCTGAGGGGGGCGGGGGGGGAAGGGCTATACAATTCTCTACCATATCCTTTTGCACTATTAGGGTAGAAGGACCTGGCAACAAATTAAAATAGCAGCCAATACTGGAAACATTAACTATGTAACTGAAGCCTGTGTACTTAATTGTAACAGGCATTGTGGACTTCAAAAAAATTGCAAACCTGAAGGCAAACTGATTCTGTGTCCATCTTTAAGTTTTAACCGGCTTCTTTTAAATTTGCCCTTCCTCTTCTTTACATTGGGTTTCTCTTGATTTAACTGGAATATCATGATATTCAGCTCACGCTCCAGTACATCGATCTCACGTTCTGCTAACTGCTGCTCACGGCGCTTAAGTAGTTCTTCCTGAGATTTTTGCTGAAGAGCTGCTCTTGTCAACTCCTCTTCTCGTGATCGAAGCTCCTGAAGATGAGATTCACACAAGTGAAACTAAGTAATAATGCGAAGGTTGTATTAAATGATATATATAAAGTGCACAGTAGGTTGTATTTCCTTGTCTATTTTCATGATGCACTATATACTTGTAACATGCACATACGACCTTCTGGTGTCCTCCATTCTGCATAAGCCAAGATTCTGTATCCAGACACAATCAGCCATCATACAGATTTCCTTTTAACCTTTAACTTGAGTCACTTAAGGTAGGCAAGCACTGGCAATAGGGACAACACATCCAATCAAAGACTATCAGCTTAAAGCTAGCAGAAAATGTGCTCAAAGTACTTTGCATCAGAGGTTCCTTCGTAGCATGAGGACTGCTCTTCAATAGCTCCTGCGCGCTAACATAAAGTCAATGACCTGACGAATACACAAATGAATGCCTTTATCTTAAATTTTCTAACCTTTCCTGTTTTTCAGCCATGCATTAAGTAGAACTTTTCTATCTAGAAAAGCAATCAGTATTACACCAAATGAGGATTAGCGTAATAGGATAAACCAAGTCATAAGACAGAAGACAGCTGTTTCTTAATTAAAATCTAGCAGGTATCTGTATAACATCTCAAACAACTACTAACCACTGAATTACACCACGCAGACTCTCCAACCATCAATCCCACAGAGGAGCTGTCCTTTTCCTTTTATTAGTTTTTATTTTTGAGAAGGAAAAAATTTAGTGAGGGAGCTAGTTAATTTTTCAGGGTAAATGAATCCCCAAGGCTAAACCACTGCAAGCCTACCATTTTAAAATTATCGAAATCTTGAGCTTCGACAATCTATTAAAATATATCTGAAATTTAAGTAGATCTCCCTTCATATTATGGGGACACAGTATACACAAAACAGACTTACCCAGAAGTGCTGTAGTCAGTACTGCTAATAAAAGAGACTACAGGACAAGGAGAAGCTATGACGTGACTGATAACGTATGTTTCTCATTACACAATTTTTTAATTTTTACATATGATTGTGTAAATTCTACCTGGATGGAAATTGAAATTCTATTCAAAATACAAAAACAGCATTTGAAAATAAGCTATGCTAAAAGTTCTGAATCTACGAGTATCTTATTCCTATCTTTTCAGTGGTGGCAAACAAAACAGGGGGCAACGGGCACAACTAAGTTCCAGCTGAACACAAGGAAGAACTTCTTCACTTTGAGGGTGATGGAGCCCTGGACCAGGCTGCCCAAGGGGGCTGTGGACAAGTCTTCTTCTCTGGAGATATTCAAACCCCGCCTGGACGCGGTCCTGTGCAGCCTGCTCTGGGTGACCCTGCTTTGGCAGGGGGGTTGGACTGGGTGATCCCCAGAGGTCCCTTCCAACCCCTACGATTCTGCGATCTAAAATTCATTCGTCACTGTACAGTCTTCTAATTGTGGTGTCCTTTGGTGGTTTTTTTCAGAGCAGACTGCCTACTTCTGCTCATCAGTATCCAGCAATGCCAGCAGAATTCCTTATCACATACAGTGAAAGAAAAAAACCAAATTTTCTGCTCTTTTTAACTCCCACTTTCACAGAATCATAGAATGGTTTGGGTTGGGAGGGACCTTTAGAGGCCATCTAGCCCAAAGCCCCTGCAATGAGCAGGGACATATTGCACTAGACCAGGTTGCTCAGAGCCCCGTCCAACCTGGCCTTGAATGTTTCCAGGGATGGGGCATTGGTCACCTTTCCGGGCAACCTGGGCCAGTGTTTCACCACCCTCATCGTAAAAAATTTCTTCCTTATCTCCAGTCTAAATCTACCCCCCTTTAGTTTCAAACCATTACCCCTTGTCCCGTCACAACAGGCCCTGCTAAAAAGTCTGTCCTCATCTTTCCTATAGGCCCCCTTTAAGCACTGAAAGGCCGCAGTAAGGTCTCCCCAGAGCTTTTTCTTCTGACCAAGATGATCATAGAAGGCCACTACGATGGTCAGGCAGGGCTTGCCCTTGGTGAAGCCACGCTGGCTGTCTCGAATCACCTCCCCATCCTCCATGTGCCTTAGCATAGCTTCTAGCAGGATCTGTTCCATGATCTTCCCAGGCACAGAGGTAAGGCTGACAGGTCGGTAGTTATTCAATTTGTCTTGAATAAACCAGTTCCTGAACTATACTACTTTGGTATTTTCAAATGAGGGGGAAAAAAAAAAAACACTCCCTGTTCTTCCCCAAAAGACTATGGATATCAAAAGACAGGTTAGCACTGAAGTAAACTGTTTCAGGGAGAAGGATCTATTCCTCAGAAACATACTTTCGTTTCTTCACAGCTATAGCATATACACACTGCTTATCATTGTTTTGAATTTTAATTTAAATGATTGACAAATTTCATAAAATTTGCTAAGTTTGAGTGAGCTTGTTTCAGCACAGTATTTAAAAATCTCTTTTTTTTTTTTAAGTCCGCTCTGCTTAACGTAAAAGGCAATTCTGCCTCTTGGAAATTCAAAGGAGTCTGTCTTCACACCAGCAAGCAAAGTTTTGAGTTTGTTTTTTTGTTTTGGTTATTTGTTTTGTTTTTAAAATATATTTAATCATTTAACTTAGAGATTGCTGCAAATTCTCACTTTCATCCTCCTCCCATCCAGTCAAAACTGGACAACCTAAAACAAGGGCTGGAAGCAGAAACTGCATGAATTCAAATTTAGAATGAAGGTGCTTTAGAGTTTAAATAGAAGAGTTGCATTACTGTATTAACACAGTAATAAAGATGTAATAGTAGACACTAGATTATCCATCTCTTGTTGTCCTCAAATGCAGGTTCCATAAAACTCAGTAACTTGGCAAAAATTGAGGGCCCATATTGAAAAGGTAGACAGTCTAGAAAAAGTAATAGTGTTTCCTAAGAGATTAAGTATCTATTCTTTTCCAAATAAACTAATTAAAAACAGACTTACCGCAATTAGTTATGCAATGTTTTTACGCTACTCCACAATTAAAACATCCATTGTAAGGAAGCTAGGAAAGAATTCTGTATTTAAGTTGCTCAAGAACGTTTGTCAAAAGAAGATTGTGATCTTCTCTTGGAGCGGGCGTCACCATCGCTTCTTTACAGCAAGCCCAAGGAAATTCCTCCAGCTACAGAAGTTCCTCTTTTACAGGGCATGAGACGCCATGCAGGTTTTTTTTGGTTTTTTTTATTATTATTATACAAATACTTCATAGACATTACTTTCTCCCTAGTACCTGTTAGTAAAATTGATAATGTGCCAAATCAAATAAGCCCGCACATATGAAAACCCTGTCTAAGTCAGTTACATGCTTTCATTCTTAAACAAGAATGATGCCTTTGGAGATGCATTTACTTTGGCATGTGAGAAGTAAATTTCATTTTACATTTTCCCCTCCCTAATTAAGCTTAACTCACTTTTACACCAAAAATATGACTCTTCTCCCAAACCTCTGTGCTGACTTCTTTAATCCTAAATTTGATTTAGTCATGTTTTTCTTCAATAGGAAATCTCATACTGGACTAACACCTCCAGAAAATAAAAAAAAAAAACCACCAACAAAACAAACAACAGAATGGGAATGCCTGTTACAAATGCTCCCAGAGTAAAAAGGGGGAAATGGTTGGTTGAGCAGTTGCTGGAGGGGCAGAAAAGAGAGTTATGCCCTATGGCAGGTTGTGGCAAGTAAATGCAGTGGCCAGTGACACTATGGCAAGGAAAAAGGCAAGGCTCTACGCTCTGTAGAGGGAGCATAACCCATGTGGAAAGGAAGAGATCTGGCAGCTAGAGAGGTGCACAGCCCAGCTCTAGCAACCTGCATGCCCACTGCAGGCAGGGCACAGACTACACAGACAACGCTTACCCAGTCCTGCGAACCAAAACGGAAGAGGGAAAAGCAGACGGTGAAGGAAAAGGCAGACAGGAAGTACCTATTACTGTCGATACTGCAATCTTAGTGGTGATCAATAAATTCTGATACCACATATGCTGATCTCACACCCATCACCAGCCAACAGTCCACAAACGGACGCTTGTGACACTTGATAAGAAGTGAGGGACAAGGGCTTCTGACAGTGGCTTGCAAGATCACAGCTTAGTTTTTACCTTTGTCCAGTTAAGTGACTACATCTTTCATAAAGATTTCTTCACAAGTCACTGCATCTCAATTCTGTTCTTCCTCACCTACTACCATTTCACGAAAATGACAACAAATATGTACTGGGCAACAATGACCTGAAAAGAAGGAATCTGTTCCTACTAGAAGCATTTCTAAGAGGTACTCAAGAGGACACCTGGCCTATTCCAGCTGTTATCTTTATCAAGTTGTTTAAAGGAAAATACAAACCTCAGGATGATTAAAATCTAGTTGAAGTAACTAAAAGAGAGGGCAAAGAACATTAATGGTGAGGGCTCATTTAGAACAAACATATCATGATATGAGAACATGGAAATAAGATCAGTGACAGGAATCTGGATAATAAACAAAAACTGAATTTGCTGATTCATGAGTACAAGTTTGACCTAATCGATGATCTTAACATCTGGCAAGAAGACTTCCAAAACTGCAACACTGAAAGAGATCAATATTATCAGTCTGTTCAGGAAGAAGGGAGATAAAAGCACTACTGCAGTTTTGGAAAAGGAGCCATGTGATACAGTCATGTAACAGAAGGAAAAGTTTTTCATTCCCACAGCTGAGGAGAATATTCAGCAGCAACTGAAAATGTGCAGTCGTCCTAAGGGTTAGCTATGGGGTAAAAGAACTGTTTTGTTTCTTAAGTGACACATTCAAATATCCAAGAAAAAAACTCAACTGTTTTAGAAAGAGCCTATCTGCCACATTTACAGACCAACAACCTGTTTTCTTTCGGGAGATAGGTGTGGATATGTTTCTTTTTCAACTGCCTGTGCTTCTTGAATGAGCCATTCATATGATAACCCTCACTTGCTACACTAACATTATTATTCCTGTCAAATTTAACATTTCACTTCCGTTACAATACCTCTAGCTATAGTTTTAGCATACAGAACTGTTCATTTTTTTAGTTAAGAAAGGGGAAAAGCATTGTTGTCCGATATTTGAGAAAACCAGTATTCAAACATTTTTCTAAAGTAAGTCTGCTGCAAGACAGTTACGGCTTTATCTTAAAATACTGTCCAAAAACACATTAATGGAATTTAAGAACAGTACATCCACCAACAAGAATAAGCAACTTAAATTAATAATGTTTTAATGAGAGAGTAAACACTCTCTTCCATGTAGTTTATCCTCTCAAGTGTATCTCTACTACTAAATCAGGTCTCTAGTATTGTATTGGTAAGCTACAATTCAGAAGTTCAAAACTGCTGTATCACATAAATCACATACACACACACCCTCCCTTCACTGCCATGCAACTGGAAAAATCAACTTACTTTTTCCTTGGTCCTCAATTCATTGAATATTTGCTGAATTTCCAATTTCCAGTCATCTTGCATGGAATGGAAAGACTCTTGAGGCATTTCCGTCATAACTGCCCCTTCAATGGCAGTAAGCTGTTCAAGAATTAAGGCAAACGATGGTCGGATATGAGGGTCCTGCTCCCAGCATTCTAGAATTTATCAAAATCCCATCAGTTTTTAATAATACATAGAATTTCTTGAAGAACTACATGAATTTCAAGTTACTTGCTACTGTACTTCAAGTTCTAACGTGCTCCCTTAATCCACAAGACTTCTCTAGTTCCTTTTCCATTTACAGAAGTGACATCTACCTACCCATACTAAGAGGACTGGTTTTGTATTAATAACCAATTTTTTTTCCATCTCTGTCTCTAGGATCTGAAATAGCAACACTAGCAGCACTGCACAGAAGTGATACATATAAAAGGTAAAGAAATTCAGCAAACACAAGGAAATAGCTATTAGCAAGCAATGTTTATTTCTCTCTAAAGCATTTCCAAAACTTTTCTGACACTCAGGAAGAAACAATGAGAAACAATAAGGAAAAAACGGCATTTGCCATTCTTCCCCTTGGGATTTTAATCTTTATCTTGTATTGATCTGTAGTATACCCTGTAGTTTATGAAAATTAATGCAATTTGAGTGTAAAAGAAAATCAGTAAAACCAGAGCACAAAATGTACTCTGTCACTACTGAAGAACTTCTGCGGTACACTGTAATGCTGTATGACACATTCAACTGCCTGTAACACCAGATCGCTGTCAAAAGAAAAACAAAATACTTTGTACACAGCAAATTATCACGAGGTGTTTACTTTGCAACCCCAGGACTATTACAGGCAAGGATACATACTCCCAAAACATGATTATTTCGCTACATAGGAAGAAACAACATAGATACCTTTCATTAGTTTTGCAAATGGCTCAGGGCAGGTGGATGGAATGGGCAAAGTAAGCTTATTGACAGCAACTCCGTAAGCCACAGCAAGGCCATCAATGCCACGGTAAGGAACTTCTCCTGTAAGCAGTTCCCACAGCAGCACTCCGTAACTACAAAAGGTAATTTTTTTTAACAGTTATTTTCTGAATACTGACACATTGTTTCCTCAAGAACAAACAAGCATCTGTCCAACCATGCACTCCAATTCCCATGTCAAAGGTGAACGTCTTTAAGAGTCAGCTCTACTGTAGCCATCTTGCGCCTTTCCACTAATACCAATTAACCACCAAATTCGATGCGACTAAGACTGGCTCACCTTCCTATTCAAGATGTAGCCTGCAGTCACTTTTACAGAAAGGCTAGTATCATGTAAGTCTCATTTATAATCAGAAATCTGAACGACACGAAACCAAGCAATCTTCTGCCCACCAAAAATCAACCAAAAGGGAGAAGAAAACCTCAGCAGAGCATTCAGGGCATTCCCCTGCCCAAACATGTCACAACAATTTACCTAGAGGTACATGCTATTTTTTTTTTTTTTAATAATAGTAATAAAAAACAGGAGAAAAGTCCCAGCTTTGTCTGGAAGTTTGCATTTCTAATCCCTTGTGCGTTATATAAAGGCTTGTTAACTTTTTTCTTCCCACAGAAGATGCAACAAGATTGAGAAATGATTACACACACAACTAATTTCTCCATACTGGAAAAAAAAAAAAAGCGCCCCAAACAACATTGTCGCCAGTGAAACATGGTGGCACGAAGAGACCTTTGCTCAGCGTCAGATACAGAAATCAGGAATCAGAGGAATTGCTATTGCAACAACTTTAGTCGTACGAATTTCTGTTATGCTCTCCACTCCAGAAGGAGAGCTGGGTGCCGCTTTTACCTTCCTTGGGACTGTATGCCCAACGCCTGGCTTGCTCAAATGATCCAAGCCCCTACAAAGGGCTGGGACAGCACGCTCGCTGCTCTTGCTCTAGAGCTCCTACTCCACCACCACTGGAACGGATAGCTTTCACAGTCATGTCTGTGGAAGTAGGAATTACTCATTTTAGAACGTAAGTCTAAAGTGGACTTAAAGACTGGGTTTGTTGTTTCCCCTCCTCTCTTCCTGCCATGGAACCACCACCTGTAGAACAAGGATACATAGGACAACCTATTGCTGCTTTTGAATAGTAGAGTGAGCAGGCAAAGGGGAAAAACAGAATACAAAGCATTGCTCTTGCCCTTTCTCTCCAGGTGTGTGGAGAACCTACCTGCAAGCTTTGCAGGCCTGGACTGAACTCTCCTACACGAGGAGAAATGCATACAGCACGGGGGAGGTAAAAGCTATGTACCGCTCAATACTAGAAAGACCACTTCAGCTACAGCAGACGTGACAGGCGGAACACCACACACTATCAACGTTCTTCTATCACTCTCTCCTTAATGAGAAAAAGTCATTCAGCATTATACAAGACCTTACAACATCACTTCAATAAACAAGACAGCAAACTACGCAGTAACAGCACAAATACCGGCAGTGTTTTGTTTATCTATGTTCTGTTTATCTAAGAAGTTTTGCCTATCATAAAATCTTTGAAAAACTGATGAATTTACAGAGCTAACAGTTAATCAAAAACTGAGGAATACGGTCTGTTCCTAAAAAACAGAATAAAAACAGAAGTCTTGGGCTTCTTAATATTTCCACCCAATTTTTTCCAGTCTATTCTCAGCACTTGCTTATATACTCAAAGAAGGATAAAAGTAATGCATTCCTATTTTGTTTTAAACCAGTGGTACTTCTGACGAGTGCACCACTTCCTGCAGTACACACACATTTTATGCGTGATGGAGGAGTTCTACTGAACTACATCTGATCTGTGTGCTTAGAGAAAGCGTAAAAATAATGTCATGCCCTCTCAGCAAGCGTAGACTGTTCTTAATTCAAGGAATCCCCGTGTTCAGACTATTCTACACATATTTTAGCATGAACTCTGAAGTTAAGCAGAACAATAAATTTAACTAAAAAGAAATAATCTTTAATAAAAAGCTGTGTCACACTATTCGCTTTAGCTGTATTTACAATCCAAGCCCTTAATCCTAAGTAGTTCTCAACAGTGCCAAAAAGGTGGCTGCAAAATTTGAAACAGACCAACACAGTAATAGCCTGAAAGCATCTCTTTTAATAAAAGCAGTCTTAGTCTATGCACCAAAAGTCAGCGCTGGGGGGAGGAAACTGCGGGGAGGAACCCTAAAGACACTCTAGTCCTGCCACGCTGGAGTTTTTGGGAGGCACTGATCTATCATTCTCTAGGACAACAACTACTTATTAACTCTCTCAACTACAGAAGTAGCTACTTTGTGTGTTAAATTTCACCAGCCCACATATAGTTGTGCAATGAACAGCCAGAGCTTCTAAGAAAAAGCTTTTTTTAAAAGAGCAAAAGCCATCTCCTTTTCCATCTTCAGCAAAGGCCAAAAAAACAGGCATAATATGCTTGAATTACACATTTTTAAATCATAAAAACTGACACACATTCAAGATGTCCTTTTAAGTATTTTCATTATTCTCCTGCCATCAAACGTGATTTAAGCCTTACTATATCTCATTCCAGCTATAACTTGCTGTTTTTACATATTTTAAAAGCTGATCAAATTCTCAGAGTTTATTTTACTCTACAGCCCATCTTCTAAAGCAGAGGTTACTAAGCGTTGCTACATGAATCACTCCAGAATGCTATGAATGTGTCAGGCAAACGCAGCTCCTGATTCTGCCTGAACAGCAAGCGCTCCCCAGCTTTGCCAAGAGCTTGTACGGCGGAGGCACGCGTTGCTGTGAAGACCACTGCTGAAGCGTGCCACCAGCGCTCGGAAATCCGGGGGCATATTTGCACCATCAGGCCCCATACACAAAACCAAGATGAGATACCGCTACGAAGCGTGTGATGATCGATGGAAGGGTAGGGCTGACAGAGCAGAATTCTTGTTTGGGAATTTGGAAGCACATACCAAAGAGTAATACATGCAGTCTTTGGAAAGTTTGGGAAGCAAAGGATACACATGCAGGGCCTGGACAGCACCACCTCTGCTATCTGGGAAGACACCTGAGAACACGCAACCTGGAAGCCTCTGCTCGGGAAATACTCCCACAACATTCCCGAGCCCTGGTTAGTCTGGAAGACTAGCTGCAAATGTGGGTATGCTTGTGGGTATTACTTTTTTTGTAATAAGAGGTCTGCAGACTTCTTTTGGAGACTCAGTATGTGTAAGCGAAGCTTAGAACTTTCTTGACATATACTGTGTTCTTGTCTTAGAGAGACTCATACTTACGTTTGTAACCGGAATGTTTTTTAAAACAAAAAACACTCCCATAACCAGGGTATTTTTTATTTGCTTTTCTTTTAAAGAAAGAGTAAAGATAAGCAACAGAACAGATCGAGGTGCAGTAAGCAGAAAATCTTTAGAAGCCAAGAAGGTCTAAACTACACTGTACATCACAGCCTTTCTACTTAAAAACCTCTCCTGTTAGATGTCCATCATTGAGCTAAATACTTACATTTTTATAAGAGAGGCGTGCAGGAGAGAAGGCGAAGAAGAGAAATACTGTAGGTTCCAAAAATGTAAACTAATGTTGCAGCAGAATATAAAATAATTGCACCAAAGCATACCCCCTCAGATACCTAAAATCACAGCAACAAGACTGGACAGGACCTGTAATTAAGCATGGAATACAGCTGATTAGGGAAACGCCTACACCCAACCTCCACCCCGCAAAAGAAAAAAAAAAAACTTAAAGAAAAAAAGGAAGAAAGAATGGAAAAAAGAATGAAGCCAAAGACGTTTCTTAACTGGGCATCAACTCAGACTGATGTGAACAAAATGCTGAAAATCAGTTCCAGACACAAGACAAATGGGTGTCACAAAACAGTAGCGCAGATATAAATTCATTCTGAGAATACCAAAAGTATTACTTCATGCTGTAGAATATCAGGCATCTAAGCAAAATAGGACCCTATTTAAGAATTATACAACACAGAACATGCATAAGTAGGCATGAGAGAACAGATTAAAGTCCTCCCCTCCTTCCCCAAATAGCTACCTTGGATCCTTCAGAGAGAAAACATTTCAAAAAGAAAGTAAATGTAGACTTTTAAGGGTGAGGCACAGCAGCTTTTAGAGCCTATTGTGTAATCACTGCTTTTCCCCACTCACAAACCAGAACTAAATTAAAACGAAAGTTTAAATTAGCTTTCTACAATACAAGTATCCCACCCTAGACCACTCAAAAATAGCATCAGTGTTGAGAGCCATGTTATTTATATGATCCACAATAATGTCTTTAACAAGAAATTCACAAATCTAACATAGGGAGTTTCCCACCTTTAAAATTAGAAAGCAAGTTAAAACAATTTTGTGCTGAACACACTCTCCTCACTCCAGCTGCTGGAAGGAAAATCTCTATAAATATCAAAGCTTATATCTGATGTTCGCTTTTACACATGATGACATTCTAGATTCCTAAAAAACGGCACTAATTCAAGTAAACATTTGGCAAAGTTCTGATTTGCAGCTTATTTCTATTTATCAGACATATCAGGTAATAACTGGTTGGTCTCATTTCCTTATACAGAATGAGACTTTTCAGACATCTGACATGAACATACCAATATGAGATCAATCATACGTTAATGTATTAAGAGCATATGGATGTTTATATTAAGACTCCACATAAAATACTTAGGTATCTTAACCAATAGATATTTCAAAGGCTTCTCTTAATGAGATCTTGCTTTCTTAAGAAAAAAAAGCTTTTCTGTTATTTTCCCTCTCCTAATTTGTAAGTCACAAATAACCAAAGGTAGATCAAATGAACTACATGCTAAGAAATAAACACATTTCTTAGAACAGCTCTACTTGCCATACACTGAGACAATAACATAGGAAACCACCAAAACAATCCAAATAAAAACTCCTTCAAAACCCTCAACATAGTTCTACCAAACATTGTCTTCAGCAAACAAACTTCTTACCTCCAAATATCACTTCCTTTAGAAAACATGGAGGACTTGATAACTTCTGGAGCCATCCACGCGTAAGTCCCTGCTGCACTCATTTTGGTTGTTCTGTGCCACTCTCTAGCCAGACCAAAGTCTGTAATCTTCAGAGTTTTATTACAAATGTCATCATGTTCCATCTTCTCTAGCAACAAAACTGCAAAAGATTGAGTTTGTAAATTAATGCAATGGGAATCAAATAAAAATTTCCAGCCCTGTTATTAATCTCACATACAACTTGTACTGCACAGATAATTGTATACTTTAAATGTTGTGAAAATATTAGTGCCATTTTTATAAACGTGAAAAAGGTTTTTGATAATTCTAAGCTATTCTAAGCTATAAAAGTGAGAAATACCTAGAGTGTCAAGACTTCTTTATGTAACTGTGTGTGCAGATATTAAACTAGCACAAGAAATCCATTGTAAAGAGATATAAAGTAAAGCACCTAAGTTTAAGAAAGCCCCAAATCCTAACATTCCACAGATGATGACAGGCTGTGAGAAAGTTATTCACTTTGGAACAAGATTCTGAAGTAATAAAAATAGCAGTAGCAGTAAAACAAAGACAACTGTTAAGAATTCTTGTAAAAGACTTAGAAAACAAAGCAGGACACATTATGTCACTGTTTAAAATGCATCCTTAATACTGCACCCAATCCTGGCTCCTACGCATCTCAAACTGTACATAACAGAACTGAAAGAGGCACAGAGAAGGACATAGCCAGGGTGCTCAGAGCAGCATACACACAGCTACAAGAAATGGTTAGTAGTCTTCCCCAGGAAAAGAAACATCCGAGAACAGAATTCGTACCACCACCCATGGAATGCAGAAAGCTATAGGCAACAATTGATCACAGTTTCGCAACACAAGGAACGGACATCATCGAGCAAAATTAGCAGATAGGAATCAAACACGTGGCAGTTGTTCACACAACACACAGGTAGGTGAACTTTGGAATTCTTGGCATAGTACGTGAATGCTATTATTTTTACACAGATTTAAAAAGCACCTATAAAAATTCACAGAAGACAACTTAATAAAGAGCATCTATATCAAAAAGTGGGTTTAAGTTCAAGAAATCCCTGGGCCACAAATGAATACAAGTTGGGAGACTATATACCAGGGGAGCTGCCTGCCTTGGGAGTCCCCAGCCGGCAACAGGACACGGACTTGGATCAAATCCATGTGACATTATACCCACTGCACCTTCATGGATGTCAAAGAGTAAATTATCTCTTTTTGCTGTTGCATCCTACAGAGTGCATTCAGCATCTGACTTGTTTGTAATACAGCAGTATTGGCAGAAATGTAACACACCTTCACAAAACAGCGGTAAATGAAAAGTGAACGAGGTTATTGTGCTAGAGCTCACAAGGAGAGAGACAACAGATGCAAAGGAATCCTCATTAACACACCATAATTTTAATTCCGTATTCAGTTCCTCTGTCACTGCCTGTGGTAGTTAACTGTTGGCTTTAACTTCCCATTAAAATGATCTCCAGGGACAAAGATCAAAGGTTAAATTACAAATAAGAAGAATCATAAATACATGTGTTTTCCAACTGTATGTACAGCAAAACACATTACCGGGAACCCATTAATAAAAAAGCAGATGAAGAATTACCTTCCCTTACAGAGGAAAAACTGATGACCTCACATTTGCAGTTTCAATAAATCATTTTTACTGCTACAGATTGACTACACTCTCGCAAATATTTCAAAAATGAGATCAAATCCAGATGAAAAGAAAGCCCACATTCCGTTTTCAGTAAGCTTCTTAGCACAGAGTAGATGAAAGCCAAAACGGTATAGGCAAACCAAGAGCTCACCAGTCAGCACCACCAGAACAAGTTAAATTCATGCAAGAGTTTTTATACTTTTATACTTGAATCAAAGACCTATTGTTTGCTATTCCGTTTCAAACATGTTCAGCAGAATTCCTGACATTCCTTGTCAGTCAATGTGACCGAAACCAAAAACAGTCAGTCTTGCAAAAGGTAATAACTGGCACGCGGCCAGGTTTCATCCTACAAAGGGGCAACGTTTCTTTGCAGTTCAAACTTCCCTTTCGGGCCGGTAGCCAGGAACACAGCAATACTACACACAGATGACTTAGCAGCTGGGTAGTAAAAATGCTCGGCATAGCTGAGTAGTGCTCTGAAAGTGCTTCCCTCGCGGTAGCCTAGCAACCTGTGCTACAGCATCCTTCTGCCACCTCCTCGGCTTCCTGGACCTTGCTGGCTGCCAACCTGTGAGAAGTCACTTCTGCAGTCTCCTACTCACCCTCTTCACTCACCCCCAACTCGTTTCTTTTTCAAATCCCTTAAATTGCCTTTTCAGATTCCAATACACTTGCAATATTAAGTTGGGCAAGAGCCAGTTCAGCACTTTCTGGTTTAATTTCAACATTTTCAGACTTTTTACTTTCCACAAAGAGTAAAGTTCATACTTACATTAGTGCTTTCCTTCTGGCAAACACAGACTAAAATATTTTAAAGTACAAAGACCATCTGAAAATAAATTCAAACCCACCAAAAAACCTGAATTTGATTAGGAATGCAGAAGTGTAGGAAATCCTATGTCCACCTCATTTGTTTTCACATAAGCAAAACCAGAGACTGTGACTATTCTGAATGAAATACATGTAACATTATAACAGCATCTGTAACAAAGATATTGCTATTTAACCATACAGATGAAAAAAACTTACACTCTTAAGCTGTCTAATATAACGAAAAAGAACTTGGAAATCCAAGTATAGTCATCCTAGATCACCGAAGGAAGCAGCCCGTTGAATTATGAAAGAATTTGGGTTGGAACAGACCTCAGGATGTCAATCCCCACTCAGAGCAAGACTGATGTTGTGAAAAGTCTACGTCTACTATCCAACATTTCTATGAATCTGTAAAGTTATGGCACTCTATGACAGAATGAAAGTAAATTTATATTCAAGATAACTATTATATTCACTCTACTACAGATAACAAGTTAACTTAAATGCCATGTTAGAATAGATTTTGAAGAAAACCAATCGAGGACAGTAATTCAGGACATCCAGGCATAGAAAAAGCAGTAAAAATACAGCAGAATTACATTACAAATAGCTCATGTCACACTAATTCGATTTAGTCGGGATAGATGGTTTCTTAGAAAGAGATAAGGTAGCAGACCTGAGCAGATATGAATACCTTTTAGGAAGTTTAATCGTACAGACAGAGTATTAATCAAAGAATTCCACACAGCAGTTGTATAAAGGAAAATCAGGATATAGGTTGTATAAAGTTATCACCATAAAGGGAAATTATCACTGGTGTTCATCATGAAGCAATTTTGCTTCACATGCTGATTTGCAATCAGTGCAAAAATACAAAGTGCATTTCAAGAACTGACAGCAGAGTCAGAAGAGACCGCCCACTCCGAGGAAGATCACATCATCATATTAGAAAACATGCAAAGCTGGACACAGATCAATCCTAAAATCTACAGCTATAAAGCAGAGGTGAAGGAAGAAGAAAAGTCTGGCTATTCTGGCTAGAAAACCAAAACAGCAGCTACTCACAGTTGTGCAAGTTGCTCATGCGATTCTAACAGGCACTAAAAAAGGAGCTTTTTAGTAGAAACAGGGAAGTATCACTAGAATTGTAGAAAGCATAAGATCTCGTATGATACACTGGATGACCAGAACTGCATATATACATTCAACAGCAGGAACTTAAACTGGAGCACAGACAGAAAATACAAGTAGAATAGTTAGGATCCTGTAATGTCTTTTATTTATATAAAATCAGAAGAGCTTGTCCTTATTGCTAGGCTAAACAAAGGTTGCGAAAAGTTACGAGAACAGAAGTTAGCCATATCTAGACACAGGATGCAGACCTACATCACTGGTGCTCTTGCCGATAAAATAGTCTCCGAGCTGCCCTGGCTGATCCATTTTACATGCATGCTCGTGACTAAACTCAGTTCTAGATCCGGAGCTACAAGGGTGGGGAGTCTCTCATATCAGATTTCAAGATATTGCCTCTTTTCTTCCACCCACCTTTTTGGCCCTCCTCTGCAGTGTAAAGCACAGTTTACTCCTCAAAAAAAGTCACAAGATCCAATGTACACTCCTGTCAAAAACGTTCCTGAAATAGCACTGCCATTAACCTTTCCTGCTTGTTTGCTGCATTATCACAGTTACAGCTGGACTCTTTTTCCACTAATCGTATGGCACACTGCAAGTATTTTATGGTGTAACATGATGCAGATAAGATGTTCTGCACACTTTTTAAAACTAAACCTACCACGTAGTTGCCCAAGACTGCAATGGAACTGGACCTGCTGAGCCAGCCAGTACCTCCCAAGTCCATGTCCCTCCCAGCAACACCTCTCTGCCGAGCCACTACTGTTCCCATACAAGCTGCTCTTTAGTCAGGAAAAGCACAGAATTTCGGCTTCAAAAGGAAGCAGAAGTCCCAGTAAAACCCCACCCAAATGCTCCCAGTCCCCCTCTCCTTTTCCTGTGCCATTCCCTTTCCAACACTCCACCTCCGAACTCGCCCCTCTGGCAGTAACCCTTGCTCAGAGCTACTGAGAGCAAAAGGTAAGACATCAACTGCAGCAGCCCGGGCTAGAGATGCAGAAACTGGCAGGCCAGGTCTGGCCAGATTTGGACAAGATCTGCCTTCTCTGCTTCATTCTCTTTTCCCGAGAGCTTGGATTGAACTTTATGGGGGGTGAGGGAGAAGAGCTGAGAGCCTAGATATGGACAGGTAGGCTGTAACCAGTCAAGAAATAATACAAAAGCGCACATGTAGACAACTCAGATTCCCAAGGTGCATGCCTGCTCTCCCAAATTCAGACAGGCCCAGAACTACACCCCCAGCGCTACCCTCCGGACTAAGCTGAAAGTCTAGAGAGGAAACTGAAAGTATTCGTTTAAATTGCAAGCTTTTTGTTTAAAGTGTAATTTTAAATAAAAGGCTCACATTCTTGCCTCAGCTTCTCTCCTTTTTATTTCTTAAAAATCATGTAGCTTAAGAAACAGTATTCACAGCAAGCCCGAGGGAAGCCTGGGCAGACCCTTTAGCTGGCAGCGTACCCAGGAAACCTCCACCCAGCACCAAGCTTTTCGACGCTACTCTTCTAATGCAGATTATTTCCTACAGTCTTACTTTTCTTTTTGTAACTAGAACTTATAGATTATGTTTCTCCAACCTTGTCTATCTCAAAATCCCCATTTCATACAATATTTCATTTGCTAAGTTTCTTGAAATCCAAAGCCTTTGTGCAGTCAAAAACAGTTTTATTTCATAATGCATTCCAGCGCTTTCAGGTGACCGTTCTCAGTTAGAAGCCATTTAAACCAACTGAGTAAACGAGGTATTCTGGGAGAAGCCAAGTCAAAAGATTGAATACCTTTTTAATAGTTTAGATGTACTGAATTCAAGCTATCTTTTAATGCTTAAACTTAAAAAATATCATCCTGAAGCACTCAGATACTTAAGTCCTTTCTATCTCTCCTATCCTCTTTATATTTTCCTTTGTTGTTACCAAAAATAAAATGTTAAGCAACCATATTTTCTCTAGTTAGTTATTTGCCATCAACTGCTTCTTGCTATCTTGTCTACAGTTTGCTAAATAGCTGACTATCATGGTTTTTTCATAAATATAAGCTATTTAATAGCATAGATGTTTAAGTTACTATGACAATAGCTACGACTGCCTACGTGCCCACTACATTTACCACCACACATCCTTAGAGAACACCAGAAGGAAAAGAAAGATGTTATACTATATACCTCCACTTGCAAACAGAGATTGTCCAGACAATGCTGCTACTGTCACCTGTCCCCCCACACCCAGGCAGTTCCCTCTCCAACTGTTTGCAAGTGAATCTGGTTCCTGTTCATTCACTGAATCAACACGCAACAGAACCAGCAGGGCAACCTTGTTTCTTTACCTGGGAACTAACAGGTAGTAAAAAAAAACCTTCTTAAACGTTGCATATTCAGCTAACGAAACACAATACCTTGTCAATATTAAGAGACTCACCTCCGTTACTTGGAGTTGCTGTTTAGTGCCGACTGTAATTAGAAATTAAAATTTCAACACTCCTTAGAGATGTCATGCCCAGTTTTTAAACTGCAAATTAACTATCACAGTGAAAACAGCGTTGAAACCACAGATTAACTACCACAGTGAAAACATTAACCGGTCAGAACATCTTCAATACATACAAAAGAGGATACATTTGCCTTTACAGCACTGCTGCTTAAATACCTTGCTTTTCTCCTATGGGCTCTCAAGATAGCAACTGTTACCCCTCTGTAGCCAGTATCTGTCAGAATGTGGTTAGCTCACCAGAGGAAGTTCAGAGCTCACCATCAGCAAGGGAATTTCATCCTTTAAACACTGATTGCATATGCAGGAGGCATTTCTCTACTTTTTGTTATAGGGATACCATGCTCCTCTATCAACTATATCCCTATAAAGCAAGCATATAACCATTTCTTAATTTTCACACGAAACTGAAAGCAACAGTTTGTTCTTAAATGTATTTGTCCAAAAACATCTAGCCTAAAAACCAGAAAAAGAATCCCACCTCATGGGAGCCAACATACATTAAAAAAATTCCTGAACAAAGTGTTCCCAATTGGAAAGCTAAAACAAGACAAGACTTGACGCAAAAAGTCCTTGACAGCACGAATTGACAAATACACACCAACTCCGTCAGAAAAACCCACCCCCCAGCGGGACATGTGGCACGAGAAAACCACCAAAGCATGGGAATGGCAGGGAAAATGGCATACGAGGAGAAGAGAGAGAAAGAGGGATGAGAGATTTCAACAGCTTCAACACACCTTGCATCACCATTTTCTGCTTCCCCTTCGCTTTTTTAATAACCATTATTAAAGCAACTTTCGCACACGGAAACTTGAGAGAAAGAAGCAGTTTTAACAAGTTATTGGCACAGGCTGCAGATGCTGCGAGTTACTTTACTGCCTGCCATTTGTGCTTCACTTGCTGTTCAGATAGTTCTGTAATGCAAAACAGAATTTTCTATTGTGCCGTAAGAGGAAGTACCAGAGGTAACAAGCGTTTATAATTAGACATTCAAATAATCATCCTTTAACAGTAAATCTTCAGTAAATTCTGAAAAATGCAGAATTTGGATATTGCATCAGCAAAAAGTCAAAAGCAGACTGTACACTAAACATTCTCAAGTACTCTGTTTAATAAAATATCGAGCTTAGTTCTCCGATTTACATACTACATTTAAGAAAAATTACCTCATTACAGCAATTCCTCCATAATTTTATAATTACACGGAAATCGGTCAACGCTGAAACTTAGCTTCAAAAGTCTGAACACTCAGTTATGCGGCACTTAGCAGGAACTTCCCTGCTTATTTGAAACAGCAATTACTTTGTTTTAAGCTCTTTCTTCTTTGCTTGCTATTAGTTTTTAAAGGGCAGCTGTGCAATAAAAGCAGTGGCCAAAAATGCAGGTAGATTAGAAAGAAATGTTAGAGAACAACTAGTAATAATAGCTAGGTGGTGAATCAGTCATTCCTGACTAAGATATTCCTCTAGTTTCAAACTCTACGGAACAAAGCGGCTGCCTATCCGTTCCTTAAAGAACACCACCCTTGTTGTGAAATAGTGATTTATTTATTTTTTTAAGGAACTGCTACTTATTCCTAAAAAAACAAAGTGCAAGGTAAACTACAGCTATTATATCCAACTTGCAAAAGGAGTCTTAGCCAACGTGTAACGCATCAGATACAGTTTTTCCTCCAACAGAAACTTTCAGAAAACATTAATGACCTCCCTAACCCAAAATTCAAGCCATTCCCTTCAAAATAAAGTAAATCTATATATGCAACATACAAAATTCACCAGGGCAATGCAGCTGAGGTTTATAATCTCAAAAATGGCATCCAGCGGCAAGAGCTGACAGAGGTTACCTTCCTTCAGAACTAACAAGTTAACTTACCTATCATTAGTCAAATAACTCTTTCAAGATTCAATTTAAAAAACAAGAATATTCATTCTAATTTGCTTTGGATTTATAGGTTTGGTGGGGTTTTTTTCCTGAAGTAAATAAACATGACTAGATGCAATTTGGTATTTCAAGCTCGTCAGCAGAATACACAGTTTATGAACACATGCAAGTATTTACATAGTTGGCATACTTTTCCTGATCGTAACTTATTACACTCTGCAATTACGTACTTCCTCGTTGCTTTATTTCTTGTGATCTATATCAAGGTGCATTTGACGTGTTGAAGTCAGAACATTTAATGCACCAAAAAAAAATCATTTCAAAATTAAAGCAAGTTTAGAAAAGTTTAATATACACAGATAAAAAATTAAAAACACATTCTACCTTGAAAGGTGACTTACTAACCAAACTGAAGTATAAGGGTGTAGGCTGATGTCACAACCAAGACCACATGAGCTTGCTGTCAGTAAAATATTTATCTTCATCTCCTCTTCAGTTCTAGCCCCTCATCCTCACAGCTTTTTTTTCCCCCTGCACCAAGTCTAGCATGTGGGTAGTCTTGGGAGGCTCCACTAGACAGATAGCTCAAGCAGAAAGTAAAGCCCGCAAATAAACAGCTTAGAGCAGTTTTTTGCCCGATCCCTCAGCTGATGTAGCCCAGACCTACTGACCGTGCAGGCAGAGACCAGCAGATTCCACTGAGACCTGGGAGGGAGAGAACCAGTGCCTGGAGCTGGGTGGGGAAGCCTCCTCCCGTGGCTGGCTGCTAAATGAAGCCACCTATCACCTGCCGTACTAAGGGAGAAGTCAAGCAACATTTCAGAATTAATAGATCTAACCCTTTTCATCAGAGATGTAAAGACAGAATCCGGCTTCACCACTGTTTTCCATTATAAAATCATCTTCATTGAAATTTAGTATTGAAGAGAACCAGATGAATAAACTGAAGACAACCAAAATTTTCTCCATCCCTTTGAAAATACCTAGTGCTATGAATCCAAACAAACTCTGGTTGCAGATGCTTAGTCAAGCTTGGTTCCCAAGTTCCCTTAGAACCGCATCAGTTATCACAAAACTCCTTTGAAATCATTTCCATCAGGAATTTTAATAGCTTACACTCCATAAAGAATTCTGACTTCGGCTGTCAGCTTTGTTTATACAGAATATTTGAAGAAGCCTTATTGCTCTAAAACAATTTTTGCCAAACAACCTGTTCTAAAACAAAGCAGCAAAAAAGACTGGATTTTTGAGCCCACTTTTTTTTTTTTTTTTTTTAACAATACAAAACCTGAGGGGAGGAAAAAAAAAACCCATCAAGTTTTTTAATATATTCCATGGGGCAGGATTCCTGCATTCCATCCTT